TCCATTGGCCTTGAAAAACACACTTCCTTCTGATGTATCAGTGGTTTTGGTAGAATTATGTTCATTTTTCAAGAAGTTGTGTGCCAAGGTCTTGATAGCGGAAGAGCTTGATCAACTGCAAAATAAAATTATTCTTACACTTTGTCACTTGGAGATGATATTTCCTCCATCATTCTTTACTGTTATGGTTCACTTGACTGTCCACCTTGTTCGAGAAGCAAAAGTTGCTAGCCCAGTTCACTATCGATGGATGTACCCTATAGAGAGGTATTAGATTATCTTTTATTTCTGCCTCTTTAAATTTCACATTGTTCTTTCATTTGCTCGTAATTATTAATGCAATTTTAACTTACAGGTACTTGGGAAAATTAAAATCATATGTTAGGAATAAGGCATGGCCTGAGGGGTTAATAGCAGAAGGTTATTCCGGAGATGAGGTCCTAACTTTCTATTCAGGTACTTTGATGACATGGAGACATCTTTTAACCGCCCGCGTCACGTAGATGATTCTCCTCCTGGTCCTTCCACGTCAACTTTATTTCCTCCTGTTAGGAAACCAGTTGGAGGATATGAATTCTTCAGACTCACTCCTACAAAGAAACTCCAGGCACACAGACACGTTTTGATAAATTGCAGCCAAGTTGAACCCTTCATGCAGTAAGTATATCATATAAGCTCACTAGCTTTTACACTTTATATTTGTTTCTCACTGACTCTTCTAACAAATTACACTTTACTGTAGTGAGTTTAGGAGTTACCTCAGGCGTCAGCTACGGGGGCGTGCGCGTTCTGCTGACATTGATAAAAGAGTCCACAAAGAGTTTCCCAGTTGGTTTACACGTCGAATACATAATGACAACAGCCCATACACAGATGAATTCAAAGCTCTTTCTCTCGGTCCGTTAGACCATGCACGAAGGTTTACCGCATATAATGTCAACGGCTTCAAGTTCTGTACGGTTGGACGTGATCAGGGATTGCTTACACAAAACTCTGGAGTTTGCGGGACATTCGGAACGAGATGTTATGCTAGCAGCAGTGATGGCGATATGCGCTTTGGAGGCGTCACTTACTATGGAAAGCTAATTGACATTATTGAGTTACCAGCTTTTCACTGTGACACTGTTCAAGTGCTCCTGGGCAAATATGACAACTTCACGGGGACTCGCTACTGACCATTTGGGCATCACCTCAGTTAATTTCTCTAGACTTATTCATACGGGGGCATCTGAAGATGATGAGCCATATATCCTTGCTTTCGAGGCACACTAGGTTTACTATGTCGAGGACGAGAAACATAAAGATTGGAATATGGTCGTTCACCTCAAGCCACGGGATCTTTATGATATGGGTGATGGTGACATTATTTACGACAGTGAACCCTTCCAACCCTCGAATTTTGAAGACTTCTTTCCTCAAGGAGATGATAATTTGCCAATTATCAGGTATACGTCTTTTCTTAAATTATTTAAATAATTAACTACTAATTACTAATTTCTTCTAAATACATTATAATTCTAACAAATTTTTTTTAAATATGTCCTTTCAGGCCAGATGATGATGAAGAATAGCAGCATCCAAAATTTTTATTATTAAAAAAAAATTTCCTTCCATAAATACATATGTATAAATTAAAAATGGCATAGGTTTTTAAAAATAAAAAATAATAAATTTGTAGCAGTTGTATAACCACTACAAATTTATTACTGAAAATATTTCCCGACAAGTACATATATGTATAAATTAAAATTGGTTTAGATTTTTAAAAAGTAAAAAAATTATAATTTGTAGCGGTTATATAACTGTTACAAAATCTAACCGCTACAAATACTAGCGTTTAGCTATACGCTAAAAAATGACAAACAGCTACAAAATGCAATAAAACGCTACAAAAAAATCGCTACAAATGTGTCGCTGATCTCTATAAATATCATATCATCTCTATATTCATTTACTCCATCTCTTTTCTTTCCTCTCCTATTCTTCCTCATAATTCTCTCTTTTTTTCTTACTCTCTCATATGGTGGTTTCTTTCTCTTCACTATATGGTAAGTGAATTTTATTTTATAAGTCATTGTATTTTTTATTTGTTTTTACTTATAATTTACTAATATATTTATTTCTCTTTTTCTTTCAGATTTTTCTTCTTCACACTTGTCATGCCCTCCTCAACTTATTCAAATACTTCTCAACATAACACTTTAGGTTCAATATTACAAACTATCTCATCTTCAATTCAACTATCTTATTAAATATTCAATTCAATTATCTTATTAAATTAAATTCACTTGTTTTGACACACTCATAATTTAATTACATATTGTTTATTACAAAATTCAAATATATAAAATGTAATGCATAACGAATTATACAAATTAACAAAAATTCTCCAACATAATCTATTTAATGGTTTTTAAATTTATAATATTATATTTTCTAATAATGAAAAACCACAAATTTTTTTCTGCCTCGGAAAACATTTCTAGCGGTTCAAAACCGCTAGAAATAAAAAAATAGCAGGAAAATTTCGTAAAATTAAAATTTTGCTCCAAATTTTCTCGCGGTTCAAACCACTAGAAATGTTTTAGCGCCAATTCAAAAATTTAATTTGCCGGTAAAATTTGACTTCCCACGAAATTTCTAGCGGTTCTGGAACCACTAGAAATGTTGGCGCCATAATGAAAATTTTTAATTCCCGACAAAATGAGATTTGGTTCAAAATTTTCTAGCGGTTCTATACCCGCTACAAATTTTTCTAGCAGTTTCTGTCTGCTAGAAATTTCGTCTCCTACTGCTAGCGTTTTCTAGCGATTAAAGTTTCTAGCGTTTTGACTATACCGTGTAGCGGTTGCCATAACCGCTAGAAATTTTTTCTTGCGCTTGATTTTCTAGCGGTTTTTGTAACCGCTACAAATGTTCGCTACAAATAACATTTGTAGCGGTTAAAACTGCTAGAAATGTCTGACTTTAACTGCTACAATTGACATATTTTTTTTGTAGTGAAATAGCACTTAATTCCATAAATTAATCCTTAACACATTATAAGAATTTTATCCCTCAATTATCATCTTCTCCACATTAAATAATTATTCTAAAATTTTCAGCTCAAATATAAATCTCTAACTATTTTTTCTTGAATTTTCTAAGAAAATAGGCCATTTTTGCTTTCAAAAATTAAATTTAAAATTATTTAAGCTACTTTTGGGAAATAAACTTTTTCAAAATATTTCTAAGTCCTCAAATTTAATATTTCACAATTTTCCCAGTCTATTTAGGCCTTAAATAATTTTAAACAGATTCTTTCTTTTATACTTATCCTAAGTCAGAAAACTTAGAGTCTTACAACCGGTTCTTAATGTAAAAGTAGATTGACATTCAATTATTTGATCCTAATTATAAGATCTTAATTCACTTTGTCTTTCATATTTATTTATCTTTTAAGATAGTCGTTGAAGTAGCTACACATTATAGTTTTAGCTAATACATATTATTAGTAAGGGTATTCTAGGAAAGAAAGCACATATTTATTATAAATAATAACTAACTTAACTAATTTTCTTAATCTACTCAAATTAGTTAACTAGCTTTTCTTTTAAGGGCCAGAGGTAGTAAAATTCTTTTTTGTTTTTTTTTTGGTACAATTTTTTTGAGTTAACTGTTGCCATATGGCTTACCACCAATGAAACATTCAGCATGAAAGTTACTTGAAAATGTTTGACCGTCAGTTTACGGTGCATATGAATGTCATAATTCTGATTAGTAAAATTTATAATTACTGATTTCTTCTCTTCAGGTGTCCAAGCTTCTCAAAGATCCGTTTAGTATGAGAGAAATAGAGGAAAAGGAAAGGAGAAAAAAATTTTAATGAGCTCTATTTAAAAAAATTAAAGAAGTGGCATTATAAAATTTTGATGAAATAAAAATATAAGATAAAAAAAGGAAAAATTAATTAGAAAATTTTAACCCTACTTTTCTAATTTTTTAAAACAATTTCATTAAAATTTTCTCTCTTCTCCTTTCCCTTCTATTTTTCTCATACCAAACAGACTCTAAGACATTTTCATATTTGGAAAAAAAATAGCTTGCAAGCTACTTTAAGAACAAAATTTTGAATTTGAAAACTAACGACGTAGTCTTAAAAAGTACTTAGATATAAACATCAAGCATCCACAAAACCACTAAACTCGTATCCTTTCCAGTTATTCGAAAATATAATAAAGAGATAAAAATACCCGCTTGAAATTAAATCCCCTGAGAGGGAATTAACAACAGATAAATTTCTGAAAAATGAGTTAACAACAGACAAAGTAAGAATTTATATTTGAAATATGAATGCCTTATTTATAATTGAGATTCTCAAATTTGCAATTATTTAAATTATGAGTACTTGAAATTCATTTTACAAAACATTAGAGACCTAGATGTCGTTAATTCTCTTTCATGGGACCTAATTGTCATTCACCTAAATCCAAACCACACCAAGACACAAGGAGTACATGATATTTAAGGGTGTGTTTGGTATGAGGGAGGAAGGGACAAGGAGTACATGATATTTAAGGGTGTGTTTGGTATGAGGGAGGGAGGGAAATGATTTTAATCATTTTTTCTTATTTGACAACACACAAATTTTAAAAAGAGAGGAAAAAAAATTTTAAAATTTTCCATCCTACCCTCCTCAACCTCCCCTCCAAAATTGGGGGAATCTGGAGATAAATGACAATATTTTGTTATGTTGTGACCATTATATTCATATTTTGCCATGTTATGACCATTATATCCATATTTTGTCATGTTGTGACTATTATGCCCATATCTTAAATAAAATAATAGCAAAATTGTCCATATTAAAATATTTTTCCCTCCCCTCTTCTCTTTTTTTATAAATCTAAATAGGATAATATTAAAATCTTTCCCCTCCCCTCCCCTCCCTTCCATTAAAATCCCTTCCTTCCCCTTCCTCTCATTGAGCCAGACATACCCTAAGAGAGAACAAAGTCTCATAATACCAAGTTTCAAATTCATATTACATTATACTACCTTCATACTTAGCAAACTTAACTATAATATGTTTCTTATAAATAGATCTAAATCCAAACCACACCAAGACAAGAGGAGTACATGATGCTTAAGAGAGAACGAAATCCCATAATACCAAGTTTCACATCCATATTACACTATACTACCTTCATACTTGGCAAGCTTAACTATAATATGTTTCTTATAAACAGATCTAGAGTTAGAATGTTCCAACATGAGAAATCAAAAGATACGAGGTGGGCCCCACTTGTCAAGTGAAATCCCCCATTTGTCCCTTAAAGCTGCTGAAGCTGATATGATTAGTTTGATAGGTGATTGAGAGGTTGAAAGCCATGTTGAAGAGCTGCCTTCCAAACTTTGTCAGTATTGAGCATTGCATATCCACATTCATGCTCACTCCATCCTTCTAAAGCATGCACTATTCCAGCTATTCGCCATGCGCTCATTACCCTTCTTGGTAACCAGTTCTGCTAACCATTTTAAAAAACAAAAACAAAAACAAAAACAAAAAACTTTTATTAGTATGTATACCGGCCCATATATAGGGGTGTTTGGATAGAAACCAAACCATGGTTTCAGAAGTAATTTTACAGTATACGAAGTAAATATGTGAAGGAATTTATCTTAATTTGCGGAGAAGTGCTTTTCAAAAGCACTTCTTATGCCATCCAAACACCCCGCATCTCATATTGGACTCTTTGTAATGCATGGGACCCACACTATCTTGTTATTTCTGAAAAAGGGTTGATACTATTGTTAATCCTTACAATTTGATTGAAATTTTGATTTAAATTCATGAAATTTCAAATCATGACTTTTAGTCCCTATAAATTTATTGGACTAGTTTAATGGTGTTAACTTCTAGCTAATGTCGTTAAGCAACTACCAAAAACCAAAATTCATTGAAAGTACATGGACCAAAATCAAAATTCATTAAAAGTATAGGGAAAAAACGAATTTTGGTTTTAGTCTCTACACAAACACCAGAATCAGTTCTCCAGACAGTAAGGATACCAAACAATGGTATATGCCCTTTGAAAAATAATTAAAGAGGAGGAGATCAGTGAACAAACCTCACAAGAATCAACATTCTCAAGGGACAAAGGAGTTAGCATGGCTGGAGTGCAGTGGTATGAGCAATCCTTGCGATATTTGATCGGTGGGAGTTGTGAGTATGGAATGAAGGTTGTTCCTTTTGGTGCTTTTTGTTGTTCTTCTTCACTCAATCCATCTCCCACTAGCCATATCTATCCATGCAAAAAAGCCAAAAAAAACAAAAAACAAAAGAAGAAGGAGAGAAAATAACAAATTAAATTTAACAATATTTTCATTTCGTCCAGAAATCAAATAGAATGTTATAATAGAATATATATATATATATATATTTATGTAACGTTCCTATTCAAATTTTGGATTTAGTATGGTTGGTAACTTTTCTATCTAATCGGAAATATTTTTACTATTATTTTGACCTGTCACTACTTATTGTTATGTAAATTCAGACCCAAACTTAACTTCAAAACGAAAATTATTAGTGACAAGATTAATGAAATTAAACTCATGAATACAATAAATCCATGGCCATGTGATTAATCACTGATTTGTAGTTGTCTATCTAAGAGATTATTAATTCAAACAGAAGATGAAACTGAGAGGGTTCGTTGTATTAATTATTACCTTTTGAGAATAACTTTTAGAGATAACCAAATTACTTCCACATTTGTTGTTGAATGAGTTTTTTAGCTTCATGTGCTCCTCCTCATGCACAGTAGCTACCTGAAATACACAAGGAGCAAAGTTTAAAGATACTCAAGTTCAAAAAAGGAAAAGATAAGATAAATTTTATTTGTAATTTTTTTTTCAGTTCAATTCCTCAATTGAGAGACTTATTTGATTTAGATAGTTTGAATTTTAAATTTTTATTTTGATCTAAACTATCATTTTTGTAAAACATTCAGTGACAAGATTGCTTTGATTGTAAATTCTATCTCCTTAAAAACAACAACAAAAACGTTAAAAGTTGAAACATAGACAATGTAAATTAAATCTTAAAAATCGAAACATAAACAACTTAATTATGACAGGATATATTGTTTAATTGAAAGTATTTAATTTGATATCATCAGTGCATGATCTAAAACTTTAAGATACTCTCTTGATACTCTCTCTTGCCCTAAATTTAGAAGTTAGATAATTAATTTGCAAACATTAACAAAATTAGTTAAATTAATTATTTGAAAAAATGTGTATTGGTTTTCTTAAAGTATTTCATTTAATCATTTACATTAAAAATTATTCCCTTAATAAAAAATACTCCTTAATATATACGATCAATAGGGGGAGTTTAAAAAATATATATAAATTTGGGAGGCAAAATAAGTTTAGATCTTATATTTAGGATCGAAGCAAACTCCCACTATTATCTATTAGATTTAGGACTGAAGAAAAATAGTGAAGAAACTGACCTGAATACCCCTTTGGCACAAATTAAAGGCAAGGGCAGAAGCAACTTTGGTGAGTTTGCCTCTAAGTAGGACTTGAATTGTTGCCTTCGGAATATTGTGAAGAAGCACAGCAACAGCCAGACTGCTTCCATCAACCACCTTAACATTTAGCTTTGGATGCTTCTTTAGATAGAGTCCTCCATAGGTGTTTAGCTCTTCTTCTTGATTCATTAAACCCAAGCTTATCACTTTTGTTCCTTTCCTATCTGCTTCCACTATTGCCTCCTCTATCACTCTGTTTATAGCCACTTTTTGCCATTGCATTAAGTACTGTAAGTTCATGAATGAAATTATCAACATATAAATATATATATATATATCTGTGTGTGTGTTTGATATATAAATGCAAATAAATCAACTAATTAATTAAGAGTGATAAATTTGAGTGAAACGAATATATGATAACCCTTAAGAAAGGTGAATTCTAGACTTGATAAGACCACTTCCTCCTATTTAGGACAGTTTGAGTTAGTTACTAGTACTCCTCCGATCCTAAATATAGGACACATTTTGTAGTGTAAATTACACTACAAAATGGATCATATATTTACGACCGGAGGAGTATTAAATATCAAATAATTATTTTCTTAGAAAACATGATGGAAATAAACATACAACCTTAAATTTCTAGACCCTACTACTTTAATTTGTGAATAAGTGAAAAATATGCAATTTATTCAAAATACTGCTCCTTATTTAAGACGACGGATTTAGACTGAATTAGTTGGTTATGTTAGATAACATATAATTTTTCCCAAAAAACTAATGAAAATAACCATACTATGTTAAATTTCAACCATATTTCCTCCTGTCCTAATTATAGAGCAAAGTTGACTAACTCTAGCGTTGTTAAAAAGTGACAGTAAACTTATAAAAATAAATGTGTGACTTTCCAATTCTGCTCTTCATTAATTAAAATTAACGACCATCACAATAAAATGCTATCCAAATTTAAATATCAACAATTTGTTGTAATTAAGGAGGGGTGAGATTTAAAAAAATTAACTACCACATTTTTACCCTATATTTAAGACCAAATATAGGACTTTAAATCTTCTTTCTATAATTAAGATGAAAGGGAGTTTTTCTTCAGCATTTGAATAAGTGAAAAATTTGCATTTTGTTCAAAACATTAAGCATAAACTTCACAACAATTGTTTAAAGAATGAAAATAAACACACACACACACACTCTCTCTCTCTCTCTCTCTCTCTCTCTCTCTCTCTCACACACACACACACACACACAAATTAAAACACGATTGAAATTAAATTTGGGAGCTTACTTGAATGGTGTACTTGGGGAGGACCCAAGTTTGAAGCTTGAGTTTATCAAAACGATTTCTCTCCACTGTGAAGGTACGACCGTAGACCCAAGTGAAAATCATGGACCACAGCGTTAGAGGCCACATTAACTTTAGATACCACTTTGATGTGTGAGGTTGTGAGGCCAAATATGCAAATCCAAGTCGAAGATGATATACAGATTCAGGAGTTGTGAGATGTGTTAGGTGCACAACATCTGGGCATTCTTCTTTCCTTTTAAGTGCACTTTCATGTAACTCATCTGTTGATTTGTCCACAGTTCCGTATATGTAATCATATAATGGCATAAACAGAGAGTAGTTTGTCCTGAACTGTGTGTGGTGCAAAGAGTGAAACCTGTTTGGAAAAAACGCACAAATCAAATAATGCATAATTGTTGGTGCAAATTTGTGTTTGATAATTAAGGTATAATATCAGAGTTTTTTTTTCTTTTTTCTTTTTGAAAAAATAGACTTGTAGCTAATTGTGTATGGCAAATTAAGCAGCTACCTGTTGAAGGGGGAAAAGGAAATGGGACAAGCATTTACGTAACGTCAAAAAAGAAAGAAAAAAAAGAGCTACTTGTCATTCATTAATCATTGACAAAAATATGTATTAAACGAATATATGCCTCATAATTCTACCAATTTATTATGATAGGTCAACTGATTTGCCAGGTTGTGTTTTTGTTTTTTGTTTTTTTCCTGATCTGTCCTTCATGTGTCCCAGTCAAGTTGGCAATTTTTGACATTTTCTCACACAGACATCACCCTGCCCTGAGGGTGGGACCGGAAATGATGTTAGTGTATTCCAAAAATTAAGGAGTGATATGGAAAAACAAAAAGTAAAGCAGCTATACATCCATAAATTACATAAAGTTGTCGTGTCAATAAACTTATAACATAATTATGTGTGTGTATGTAAGCTCTTTGTAAGCGGAAAATAATGAGTTCAATCTTCTTTATAATTTCATATCTTTTATGACTGTTTCTTTAATTTAAAAAATATAAACTACATAATAAAGTCACATTGCTTTTAAAAAAAAAAAAAAAAAGCGGCCACTAACCTTAAATTTGGTATATCATATAATTGGAGCTTCAAAATCAAAACCTAATTATTAATTCAAATATATATATCTTTTTAATTAAGAGATACACATTAACAGCATGTGATTATAAACGGGATTGAAAGCATGATTATATATATTGGAAGTAGCATTAATATTCACAAAAAACTGTGAGTTTGAGGCAGCATGAAGTGTGAATGCATGAAATAACTATATATAGTCAATAATAGGATGGACTAGACTTACGTTGGGGTGTACATGAGATATTTGAGAGGAGGAAAGACGCGAAAGAGGAAGGTGGGAATGAGCTCAAAGTTGCAGTGACCCATATTGTTCATGAAGTCAATGAAAGTCAAATAACCGGCCAACGCCGCCACCGATGCCGTGCCGGTCACCACTACCGTCATCATCGGTATGGCAAACAACAGGAAATACGATATGTGCTCTGCAAATGGGTGGATCACGGCTGTACTCCGCCGTACGTATATCATCAACCCAACAAAAACCCACCATCAATATATATATCTATATATAGCAATATAGACACACACAAAAAATTTAACATAAAATAAAATTGGGCAATTGCCCTTTCTAATTTCTATATATTTTTCATATAAAGTTTGTTCATCAAGATTTCTACATGTGAACGAGAATTTCAGTGTGTAGTACATAGTCCTTTCGTCTTACCACTTTCTGACTCCTGTCTAGTAAGTTACATTCGGTTAATTCTCACAGTTAAATGATTAAATATGTATTAAATTGATAATTTTTTTTTAGTTTATTCTTATTAAAATTTTCTCTCTCTACATTCACAAGTCATTCCCACCTCTCTCTCTCCCCCCTCTCTTTCTAACAAGAATTAAGAAGAGCAAAATTAAAAAAAAAATTATTTATAACAATGGTAGAAAAAGGTGGAAGAACAATAGCAGAGAAAATGACATAATTTACATGATTGGTATTGAATTTTACTCTTCTGATCCTTAATATAAGACCTATTTAACTAATTTGATTAGATTACGAAATTGTTAGTTAATTATAAAAAATATGACATATTTTTCCTAAAACACTATAATTATCTTTCTTAATATCTTTCCTCCCTCTTCTATTTGATTATGGTTGAGAAAGTATCCATGAAATAATTTAGAAAAAATTGATAAATATGAAAAATATGCTTTATATTTAGAACTAAAATCAACTTAACAATTAGGTCCTATATAAAGAAACGAAAGAGTACTACAAATATGAAGGGTCTCATTAATATTCACATAGAAAAGCAAGTTTTGGAGTTTTTTATTACTTATAACTTTGGTATATCTTGTTACAAATATGGTTTACCTCATTAATATAATATTCACAAAAGCATGTTGTAGTTTTTGTACTTAGAATTTTCAAGTAATATTTGTCTTATTAATTCTTTCATTTCTCTTTTAAATTGACCTTGCACCGAAATAGTACTCTATTGATTTTCTTCCACTGTGCTAGAAGGACCATGATATTAATGAAGTGTGTGTGCACACCGGGATATTTATCTGTCAGTGGTTATTATTTTCTTTAACTTTTTTTTTTAAAATTTTTACTCAGCTTTTTTTCAATATATATATAAATATATATAATATCACCTGCACGCATCTGCCACTTGATGTTTGCTTCAGGACAGAATTTACATTAAAATTAAAATTGAAATTTGCACACCCACTCAAACGGTTCATATATATCTCGAACCCCATAAATGACAGAGACAAATGCATGCAGCATTCTGCCTCATTGGCCAACCATGCCCCATAAGTCAACTCGTGTTGTACTTTTGACACAGCGCATTAAAAACTCATGGATCCACGAGCCTCAATTTCTCACATATATTTAAGGAATTTTAGATTAATATCTTAAAATATTTTGTAATAGATTTAATATTTTAAAATATTTTTAAATATGTCTAACATCTTAAAATATTTTTTATTTTAAAATGTTTTTTAATTTTGTAGTGGATTTAACATTTTAAAATATTTTTTAAATATGTTTAATATTTTAAAATATTTTTTACTACATCTAATATATTAAAATATTTTTTTAGATGCATCCAGTACTGAAAAGAATTTTTTGATGCACCTATGACCAAGAAAAAAAATACTTCATAACACTTGATGCACTCGAAAAAATATTTTAAAGTATTAAATATATCTTAATCTTGCATTGAATTAAGAAAATAAAATGTAGATATTATAAATTGAAGTTCTGGTATTAGCTAGCCCACGATTATTATGTATTCAGCCATCTTGTGACATACTATTAATTATTTGAATCTATTCTCTAATCTTAAAAATAATGGGCCCCACTGAATAATTTTGTCGCTAACTGACATGCGGCCCCTTGAGAATTAGTCCGATGTACTTTCTCTAATTTTTAAATACAAGAGCAAATCATAGGGTTTGTTTTAATTTATTTTTAAATATAAAATCTTAATTTATTTTATCTCTCAAATTTAAAACATTTTTATCAAACTATTCCTTCGAAATGTACATAGTAAGAGAGTTTTTAAAGAAGGACATGGTTCCAATGCAAATAATGATTGAATATTTATAATATTTTTTTATAAATAATTAATTTAACTATTTTTTTTTATTTTTTCAAATTAATAACCTAGCTTTTATGCTAATGATTGGATATGCACAGAACGGACATAAATAGATGTGTGAGTGTGCACAACAAAGATGGAAAATATCAAATTAATTGAAGAGATGAGATAAATTAAAGGGACTCACAAGTAATGGGCTCAGTGACAATGGAAGAATGATGATGAGAATGATAGCGAGAATAGAGAAAATGGTGATGAAGAGCTCTGTGAAGCCAATAATAAAGAAACTCCACTGGACCAGCATGTAACAATATTGTGATCACCACACCATCTGTTCTCCATAAAGGTATCTGAGATGCCCCTTTCATGGTTTGGTTTGCCAAATAAAATAATATCCCACCGAATAATATTTGGTCATCCCTGCATGCAAATTAATTAAGTAAATCAATAATCTCCAAATGTTTTAATAAAATAACTAGTATATTTATATATTTTTAGGGATGAATATAGTTTAGATGGATAGCTGTGCATGCTGCTCAAGTGAATTAATTTTAATGTATAACAAGAAATTTCACCTATTCTAATGCAACAGGTTCAAAAAAACAAAAACATACACATACTTGTATTATTATTTTAAGGACAATATAATATTTATTATTATGTCAAACCCTAGTCACACTTTGATGTATGTTCTATATGAGTTTAGCACTAGATGATGATACTTGACATGGTTATAAGAAACTTAATATAAGTTTTTTTTTTTTACCAAGAGATATAAGTTTTTTTTCCTTATTAGACACATCGTAAATAATATAATAGAGTGTTATAAATTATTCTTTTATACTAATGAGAATGCTACTGAAAATACCTTCATCCATGTTAGCAGAGTTATGAAACTTACTTGGTACAGTGTGGTTGGTGAAACTACTCAGTAAAAAGTACAACATTGCTAATTAAGCCCGCTAAAATATCCAAAGGTTCCATGTCAGTGAGTAGCCTTTCTTCCCTATAAAGGCCTCAGTAATAATTATGCCGACTATGTACGGAATACAGAAGCAGAGTAAAAGAGAATGCTTTTAGTCCACTTGAAAATTGAAATGCAAAGATACAAAATTGGTTCACTTGTGTAACTTGATTCATGCGGTGGAAAGAGAGCCTCCTATTAAATTGGACCTATCTCCTCTCATATTATACATATATATATATATATATATATAAATATATCTACATCTATATCTTCTTGCACTTGCACCAATAGACGGTCCCCTCTACACAGATGGATTTCCCCCTCAGCCTGTTATGCAGCTTCTTTCTTTTTCTTTTTTTAAATTCAAAGGTGGCACTTTTTTTTATCAGCATTCAAAGGTGGTACTAACCACAGCATATGAGGAGATTCGAAATCACAACGTTTTATTTATAAGAATAACTTAGGTGCCAATAAACCACGAGACCACATCATTATTGGTAATTGGCTCAATCTATATATATTCACTTTGTGTTAAACTCATATATTGGTATATATTAGAAGGATCAATACTCACCACTTTGATGTAAACTTTAAACTCATCAGATTTGGATCATTTATATCTCATTTGAATGATTCAGATTTTATTTTTTTTGTTTTTATTTGTTTAAAATAATTATTTTAATATGTATAAAATCTAAAATAGAGAGTTTCTTAACTATCATTCTTTCAAAAAATAACTTTTATTTAAAAATAATTAATTAAAAATTTTAAATTTAGACCGTTCAAATTAAATATAAATAGTCTAGATCTGATAAGTTTAACGTGCTCTAAAGTGATGAACATTGAATCTAATCCTTAATATAAGATTTCGTTTGATTTTTATTTTGGTCCTAAATATAAATCTTAATCCACTGTCTCTCATATTTATTTTTTTCCCTCAAAACAGCCTTTCTAATAATAAGAATTCTAATCAATAAATTTGATTTGTAAGGATCTTTTAGAAAAGAAAACACATATGTATTACAAATAATTAACTTAACTTATTTTTTTAATCTATAATCTATACAAATAAACTAATTAACTCTTATATTTAAGATCAGAAATAGTATAAGATAGCTCCAACTAGTTTACCATAATTAAAAAGCTGTTAAGTCATTAAATTTATTTTAACATAAAAAATAAATTTATCCTTATTTAAAATTATGATTTATACTTTTTTTTTGTAGATAGGAGAATGATATAGATTTAGAATATTCTACATATAAGAGCTAGTAGGGAATAAATTTGCGTTATAAACTATTATATTTATGATATAATTTAGAGATGAAAGTGAAGCTAATCTAACCAGTCTCTTTCGCGATCAACTTGATCGAACTCAATGGCTTTATCAACAATCCTGGAGTTTCCTTTTGCAGTTCGATAGCGAGAGAGAGTGATCCAAATCTGATTGTGAAGCATCCGCCATAGCAACAGAGGAAGAATCAGAAAGTTTGCTAAGTCCCTTTCACTTTCCTCCTTCACCATCCAACTATATGTGCTCTGAATCGCCCATGGTGCCAATATCACATACTGCCAAAAAACAATTCCAACTCTGAGATGATATATATACATATATGTGTGTGTGTGAACCAATCACATAAAGACACAATCTGCTTTCTTCAACACAGAAAAATCTTCAATAATGTCATGGCCCTTTCGTGTGTATTTTGTGAGGTAGACACAGAGAGAGAGAGAGAGAGCTGCAATTATTCTTCCTGAAGTTAGGAATGCAAAGTACTGATATTTTATATTTTATAGAACACTACTGATGCTAGCCCATCCGACATTTAATATAAAATCTATTTTTGTAGTACAAATATATTAAATATACACTAGGATCTCATATGATTTGAAAATAGAGGAGTTCTAAGATACTGCATAGTTTGTTGAAGAAATATTTCTGTGTGTTTAGATTGTATAAATGAGGACACGGTGTAAAAAATGTAGCAGATGAGTGTAAACTACACGATGAAACAGCCCCCTAAGCTGAAAGAACAATAAATAAAATGATGGCAAATTTCTTAAACACAAACATCTCTGTTATTAGTGCCCTTGCTCTCTGGTGCTTCTCTCACAGGGTGTGTGTGTTGTGTGCATTGTGAGTGTGAGATATATATAAATATATATATATAGAGAGAGAGAGAGACAGAGAGAGGGGGGGGGAAGAAGATGAAGAATAATGGGTTAAGGTTGAAACTAACCTTAAAGCTTCCAAGAGGCTTCCATGGCCAAGCAGTGAGGATTCCAGGTCTTGAAGCCATAGTTTTAGTGTCTGTCTATGACTATACTTTGTTTTGGTGAATCAGAAGGGCAAAGACAGACACCTATATATACACACAACTACACGCACACTCTTAGGAATGAGTTGCTTTCCTTGAGACACTTTGGCGCCTGGCTAACAATTAATGTACTCAACTACCCACGGCAAATTCATCAGATCAAGTCAGGCCAATAGCTCATACGTTTTGAAATTAAAATAGATTAAATTTTTTTTATCACCAAAATGTAATAACAATAAATCACTCTTCAAAATATTCCAGATCAAGTAAAAAAAAAATCAACATCATTTATATATATATAAAACCAAACACACAACTCAACTGATAAATCACCCAACATCATTTATATTCACGTAATGACCCCACATTACGTTACTATTATTAATGAAATACAAACCGCAATTTTGGGTTTCTCATTTATTAGTCTCATAAAAGAACGTCGGCATGGGTTGGCATGCAATTACATGTTCGCAAGTGACCAATGTGGGTCATTTAATTTAGTTTGAGTAGCAGATGGAATATTTTATTCCTTAAAATGTGTTTAACATTAAATATTAATCATATTAAAATAATTCTACATTACTAATAGGATTAGATCTAGTAAAAAGAACTAATTCTTCCTAATATGATGAATCAAGATGTAAATTTTTGTTGAAAGAAGTGTTTTGAGGAAAAAAAATTAATTCAGCATTTTGAACTTCACCCTATTTTATATCGATAACTTTAGTTTTTAAATTAGTTGTTTTTTAATCCACGTAAAAAAGTTACATTTTTTATAAACTGTAAATAGTAGTATTAGTTGTTGGCAAAAAAAATAGCAGTATAATAATTGAGGGTCTTCATATTTACACTGTAGTGAGGTTCTTTATCTTTGAAAGATCAAAATCAGTGAAAATAATTTTTCTAAATCAAAGTATTAATTTGTTCTTAAGGTTATTGCCGATTATATTTATCAAAACGATTCTTTTACTGAAAATTAATTTATATTGCTTTAGTTTATTATCCAAGATATTTTATAATATTTTTGCCTATATTTACAACTATATTTTTTACCCATGTCTTGATATATCTGTTGAGCGCAATTCTTATTCGTATTATATTCTCGGAGAACATGTACTTTTCTCAACTACTAGTATTTAAATTTAAACAGACAGGAATATAAATTATTAAACGATACGTTCATTTTAACCTCGTACTTTTTGAAATTTTAATTGAGTCCCCATCGAGCTTTCTTAATCATGTCTCTACATAATTAATAGACTTTTTTGTTATCAACCAAAAAAAAAAACTCCTTTTTACACTTTTTTGCCTTTATATAAATCCAGAAATCCTTATGTTTAGGTTTTGTCATGTCTTTGTCATATGTTGACCTTTTAATAATTCGGTACAAGTGTATTTTAAATTGGTGCCTGAACAATTAATTCTTTAATTTCTAATCGGTTCGTATTTTTGTGACTCTTTTTTAGTTTTGGTCCAGTAAACTTTACTAGCCATCTTTTTCATGGTTACAATAAAAGGAGACATAAATAGTGATTAAGTTAAATGGAAGAAATGAAGAAAAATAAACAGAAATTAATTTTTTTCAAAAATAAAAAAACAGAGAGATATGAATGCCATTTGTTACGAGGGTCGTACTCGTATGTGGTCCTTATATTAATGGAGCGATTGTTATAAATCTGTATGAAAATGTTTTATTAGAAAAATATATTTTTATTTTCTATTACTTTTTTTAATAATATTTATTTTTTAATTATTATTAAATAATTAATTTAATTTAAGTAATTATTTAGTGATTTATTTGTTTTCAACACGAACATAATCTGAAGTTTAAGGGATTAAATATAATTTAGCCTTATAATCATATCAGGAAAACTTTCCTTCAGTTGGGACCTGATCTGTCTCTAATTTCAATTGATCGGTAATATTAGATTTCAGATATTCCATTTGGCCCTTACTAATTATAAGGACGTATTAATTATTTTACATAAATTTAGAAAATTGGCTGGTTTCTTTTGGCTAAAACAACTGGCAGGTTTTTATTAATGAAGTGTTAAAAAAAAACTTTTGTAACTTTTCAGAATTACCTCTGATCAAGTTAAAAAATGATAATTATTTGATAATCCTAGTAAAAAAGAAACAACAGAGAAATCTTTATTTCAAATTTTAACAGTCATTATTTAATCTAAAAGTGAAAAAAACAAAATTATTTTTTAAAATAAGTCATTTATATTTCATCAAATTTTATAAAATATCTCATATTAAAGACAATGAGAGTATGCCTTATAAATAGAGCAAGGACAACGAATATTTGTAAAAAAAAAAAATCCAGAAACCAAAAAAGAAACAAATTTGTTTCTTAATTTTTAATTTTGTACCTATATCTTTTTTTTCCTCTTAATTAAATCCTTTAATTTTATTCTGTTAATCTTGTTCACTCGTAAACCCTATATCCAAGAGCTAACAGGGGCTACGAGCCAAAGACGAAATATGATGATGGTACAAATGTGTGATACATGATTGCAAGTAGCCACAGTATGTTTCTATTTCTATCCAAAAGATATCCTTTTTTTTTTTTCTCCATACGTTATTGTGTGGTTTAGTGTAATTCTTAGTGGAATCACGAGAGTCTACACACACACACACACACGCTTTTGCTTCAAGCATGTGTTCTATCAATTTCTGGTTCCCAGAAGTTCGTCAGAAACAATGAAGAAGACGTGTCTGATGATGGGTATAATAATCCAGCTAATTAAAACTACCTAGAAATTAAAATAGAAACACGACAAATCCTCCAAAAAAAATTAAAGTAATTCTAAATTGAGAAATTTCAGAACCAGGAAAAATATTAGATATTTTTCGTGAGGTCAAACATATTATGAGCCATTTGAATCGAGCTATCTCTTTTGCCTGCCAAAAATATCAGCGATCTGCATATGGCCTGCTTCTCAGAACTTCATAAGTCCTTTTCAAAAGATGCCACAAACAAATCTTATAATTTTATTGTAATACGTAACCTTCCTTTCTTTAATTTGTTTTCCTTAGCATCCCCACTTTGCAGCCTTCACTTGTAGGTTTGTTTTCAATAGCGCTGAACATTTAGGTTTTGGTGATCCATTTGAAATTCTGCACAATCAACTTTCTAGAATAATTATATACTACCTTTCATTCTTTAATGTAAAAACTAGTTTGATATTCAATTTGATTATAAATATAAGATTCTAATTTATTTTATCTCTTATATTTATTCATTTTTTTTCAAAACTAATCCTTGTAGTAGTTGGATATGCTAAAGGTTAGGGTAAATAATATCCATTCATTTTGAATAATTAATTTAACTAATTTTCTTGATCTACTTAAATTATTAGTCAACTAGCTAGCTAGCTCTTATATTAAGAACTATAAACAAAACTAGGATACTTTACACGGCAGTGGATGCACTATAAATGAGATCAAGATGCTGAATGCACCAAAAAGCAACATCAAAGTATTGGATGCCTCATAGACAAAATAAGGGTAAAAGGATGAAAAATTTCACCTTCTTAAAATATCATCACAGGGAGTGCCTCTCTGTGTTATTCCTCACTTTAGTGTTTTCTAGTTATCTCTCCTTCTTTTCTATTCTTTCTTGTGTGGTGCCACTTAATATAAATGAGTAAGAATGCGAGGTTGATGCATAAGTTTAAAAAAATATTTTATTCGATTCTTATAAGAAAAACAAAATCTCTTCTTCTATTTATTTTCATTATCTCTTTTTAATAACTTTGTGACTGCATTATATATAGTTGATAGTTAATAGTTAATTTGAGATTGTAAATAACACATTAACACCGGTCTTGATATAGTATTTTACATTGAACCCAAAACACAATCAAAACATTTTTTTTAAGAAAATATTTTAAACACATTTTAGATGGAACCAGTTTTGATGCCATTGCAATAAATAGTATCATGATCCTTATAAAATCTATCTCATACAGATATAGTTTTAATGATCAAAATTTAAAATTTTTAACTAGTAATTTTTAAATAAAAATATTTTTTAAAATTTATATTTATTCTGAATTATCTACCTATTATGGGAACACATTTAAATAAAATCTATAAAAAATTACATCTTGGTCATTTATATTAAATTTGAAAAGTTGCGATTTGATGGGCACCAAGGTGCTCACCACTGCGATAAGAACCGAAACTGGTTCCTATTTTAGATTGCCTTGATCTATGCCACACGGTCAAGAATATACTAAAAATGATGTTTTATATATATTATTTATTGAAATTATTTTAGTTACCTTTTAGACCAGACTTAAATGTAACCCGTTTAGAAAATACATTGTTAGACAGTTAGACCAGTTAAGTAAACAACCGAAGTAGAAAATGCTTATCTAGACCTATTGTTATCTTAACTGGTCTAAATATTTAACATTTTTCAAAGTACTCATTACTTCTAACCCCCCCCTTTTAACACCTATAAAGAGCATAATGTGATATAATTTAGCAGCCTGTTCAAATATTTTAATTGTATTATGTATAATTCTATTTAAAGTTTAAATAAAGCTAATAAAAAATTCAATATCATTTGGAGTAATTAAAAACCAAGAACAGGGCTATTCAATGTTAAATAGAATATACACACATACATACATACGTCATTGCTAAAAAGATGATTACATCAATGAAAGTGCAACAATGATAACAAAATGTTCATATATTGATCACACACAAAAAAAAGTATTATGAAATCAATATGAAAAATAAGTAGATCTTTAATCTCTTCATCTTCCTTTCCTTCTCCTCCTTGGCATCATCATATGTCTTCACAAGATGAAGACTTATGAGAAATCGGGTCAAAAACAAAGAGTCGATCTAACTACTAAGATGGTCAATAATCTTGTTAATCTTGTTCATCCTATATTAATCAGATTTTGGGCATTAAGTGGTATATAGCCGATGATCTTTGCCTCTTTATTGGTTTCAGATTGTGTCGCCGAAGAGTGTTTGGATCTTGTCATGGTTTTTGAA